GACCCCGGCCCGGCCCCGCCGCAAGATGTCGGCGCGGACGCCATTGCCCACGGTGAACGAGCGCGACGCCGAGAACGTGAGTGCGCGGCCCGGCCTGTCCCCGTCCGCGTCCGCGACCTCTGTCCCCGGCCCTCTGCCCGAGCCTGTCCCCACCCCGCCCCCGACCCCTGGCCCCGACTCCTGTTCCCGGCCCCTTCCCCGGTCTGCGGTCCCTTGTCGCCCGCCCTTGTTCCCGGTCCTGCGCCCCGTCCCCACCCGGCTCCCCGGCCCCTGTCCCCGGTGCCCAGAGCTTGCGCGACCTCCCAGGGGGCTCTGCTCTGTCCGTCCTGACCCCCCGCTGGGCTGTGTCCCCCCAGCTCCGCGGCTCGGTCCCGGCCCTGTGATTCTGTGCCCTGGCCGGCGGGAGGTAGAGTGGGCATCGCGTCCCCACCTCGGTGATGAGCGCCGCAGCCACCTCCACACCCTGCCCCTCCGGTCCTTCAGTCCGCGCACCCCCACTGCCCATGACTTTGCTTTTTGCAACCCGGTGCCCACACTGTGGGTCGCGGGCACCAGCGGCGGCGGGAGGGGATGGAGGTGGAGATGTGCTAGGTCCGTGTGAGTGACACGCTGTGACACTGGTCCTGTCCAGAGGGCTCCTGTGGCCTGGGTCACAGCAGACTGTTCAGAAGCCCGTGGAGCCGGACTTTATCCTCCTGGCGGAGTCAGCGTGGTGATTCAGGGCACATCCCCGTGCTCCTTGGGAGTGTCACGAGTGCACTGCTTTGAAGGAAGGGTTCTGTGAGTCTGATCAAATTGCCCTCCGGAGTTTTTATCAAGATGCAGATGTCCTGGCTGTCGAAACTCTTGCAAACTGAAAGAACAAGACCAGTCGTATTTCCACCTCTGAAAAGTACAATTGTGTGTGCCCGAGTTCCTTTGTGAGGAAGGGTTTCCATTTGTGCGTGTTTTTGTTTGGTTTCGATAAAATCCGCATGACCTGTAAACAGAGCCCTGCCTGATTTTCGGAGGAGGTTGGGGAGCCGGGCGGGGGGTGGGGGTCACTGAGCTTCGCTCGGCTGTCCGGGCCTCTCTGGTTGTTCAGTTAACTCCTCAGCCTTCAGCGCCCCGTGTACCAGTGACTTCATAGGCTGGAAGACAGAATAATGAAGTGCTCTGGCGTTCTTAGACAAAAGGTAGGGCAGAGAAGGGATGCAGGCGCACTCCCGGAGTCTCGGGGGGCACACACGGATTGCCTAGCGCAGAGAGTAAGGGGCCCTGAAAGTTCGCGCGATGGGGTGGAGGGAGGAGGAATCTGGCACACGACCATTGTTAGAGGATTTTGAGAGTATGCTTTTGTCTCTCCAGTGACATGCATTTAAAATGGTGAAAATAATACAGAACCACTGTGTTCACACACTGAGACTTAATTTGCATCATAGCTGTTGTTTAAAAAAAAAATCTGTCCCCTGGCCCTGTCCCCTGTTCCTGGTCCCTGGTTGGTGGATAATTTTGATTAAGAATTGAAAAAGGTCTGAGAGGAAGATGAAGAATTGGGTTAAAGCTGATTTTAAAGCCAAGTTACTACAGGATTTTTCTAGGCGGAATTCTAAAAAGAATTCCCATCATAGTGGAGTGTGAGTGTAAAACAGCCGATGACCTTTGTTTTTATTTGCGAGATACTGTGTGGTGAAGGGAGGAGTGGAAAAATACGCGGTTTTTATTTGCCCTGGATTTGGAATACCAGAGCCTGTATGAATATGGCACTTTACAGATAGGAGATAGCAGGAATTACAGGAATAGCCATCAGGGGTGGGCACAAAACGCAGCATCACACGTATCAGCAACAGCAAAAAAAGATTGTAAAGCTAAGCAGTCAGGGTGCGATAAAGGTTGTTGTGGATACCTCCGCAAATGGGCTGTGGGTGCTCATGTGCTGTCTCTGCGCGTTATTTCAAAGTCACTTTTATGTCCTTGCTCCTTCGTTGTGCTGAGCGATATCTCCACTTAGTTTGCTTGCCTACACCCTAATGATCTCCTGATTGCCTTGGAAAATATCTGTTATGCCTTCGTGGTTAGTAAGCATGCGCTCGAGTCTGTTTCTGAGCTGGAAGGGGTGCAGAACTATCTCAGATGCGACCTCTCCCCTCAAACAGCTTACAGAAGATGTGAGGTAATCCAAGGCAGTAGTACGCCAGTACGCCCAAGACAGTGTCAGTGGGACTAAGTTGGTTTCTGAGTGTTCTAGGTGTGTATAAAAGGGGTACCACTGGTGGATATTTAAATCACCATGGGCTCTCTCTTCAGTCTCCGGTTAGTAGTAAGTGGCTTTATCCATTCTCACTTACCTGTCATCAGTGAAACAAACTGACAGACCTGCTTGTTAGCTAATGTGCTAAAGCCAGCCTGGTGGTCAAAATGTACATTTGTTTGCAGTCCTTTTCAACCAAGTGACATATTTTTAGGATGCTTCTGAAAATTTTGTTTGTGTGACTGTTAAAGGCTTTGAAGTCTTTTGTTATATCAAGATGGTAACTGAAACATTTTATTACCCTTAGAAATCAAAATTAATATAATAATTTATCATTTGTAGTTAACATGAATATTTCTTCATATGTATAACATATTTAGATTTCATGTCCTTGGGAATATATAATATGTACCCTGCCCAAGGTCACTAATATATATTCAGGAAAATTAAAAAAACCCAAAGGGGAACATGATAGTAGGATCTCTTATATACTACGGTAGAATTGAGTGGGCTTTCCTTTGAGAGCATTCTGTGTGTGCTTTTAGAGAGTATTTTCTTTGATGAAGAATTTGTGTGTGCCTTGTTGATAGACCTCAACTGGCTAAATGCTACTGAACAACCAATAATTAACTTTAAGGAAATAAATACTTCATAGTGAAATAGAAAACACATGTTGCAGGTTATAGTATTCATGCAAAATGTGTTTGCTTTTAGGTTGTGAAGAGCAAATCTAGAAAAAATAATGCCTGAAAGATTTTTCTGGTGGATAATTCTTGGATTATTTCAGCATGGATGTAGATAATATGTTACTATTATGCTAATGTATTGCTATTTCTCTATGTACTTTTCAATGAACCAAAAACAGTATTTTAGTGTTTTGGAAAAACTCTGATTATGCTAATTTTTATGGGTCAAAATAGCCCTCCTAGCTTCTTTTTTTTTTTTTTTCTTTTTTTGGTTTTTCTCCGGTACCAGGAACTGAACTCACGACCTTGCGCTTGCCAGGCAGGCGCTTTTGCTGCTGAGCTAAATCCCCAGCCCTGCTTCTTTTTTTTTGAGATAAGTTCTTGCTATATAGCCCAGGCTGCCCTCAAACTCACAGTGATCCTTCTGCCTCAGCCTCCCAAGTGCAGAGGTTACAGGTGTGCTACCATGCCTGGCAGTCCTCCTAACTTCCTAAGAGGAAACTTTGATCAGTAGGAAGAAAATGGATTTGACAACTTCTTGGGATGTTTTAAAATTGAATTTGATTAATTCCAAATCTCTAATTGAGAAAAATGTTTTGGTGAGTTTCTGATGGATCAGAAATCTCAGTGCTGGCTGTCACAGGTAGGTGACGTGCGGCGGCTGTCAGTAGCCTGTCCAGTGGGAGTCGCTGTTACAGTGTGAAGGGCGAGAGCACAGCCTCTGTTCCGCACTGCCCTCGGCTCTGCTCAGCACCTGTCCCTCCCTCCCCAGTCATCTGTTCCGGCTCCGTGAGGAGTGGTGGTGTGCAAAGGACCAGGGCCGTAATCTTCCCTTGGCATCCACTCATTGTCACCGTTGGCGATGTGCGTCAGGGTGGACGTTACCTGTTACAGGCTCTGAGGCTGTAGCTCCAGGAAGTTGAGTGACCTGTGCGCGGCTGTGGAGGATCCCTGACATCTTCCACTGCTGCTGTGCTGTTGCTTCAAGGAATGCTTTGTTTGTCTTTGGCTTAGACATTTCAAAAGTGCATACATGATATAATGTGCTTTTCAGAGGAAGGAAAGAGTGTGCTTTCCTGCCCCGTATTTCTGAACCTCTGCTCTTTCCTGTGCCTGCAGTGTCCTGTCCTTTCCCCTTTAACCCCAAGTGACAAGTCCTTTGTGATGTGGCTCGTGGTTTGAACAGATGCCTGAGGTGACCACAGCCAGGGTCTTCCCCTTGTGGCTGAGCGCTGTGTGCGCATGGTGGGCTCCAGAGTCTCAGGTGGGGCGTTCAGTCCCGCTCACTGGAGAAGAAACGACTTTAATGTCTGTCACTTGGCTCCAACCTACATACTGTTGTTAACTCTTCTTTTTTAAAAGCCTAAGTAAGTACTGTTGTTGTTATTTCTTTTTCCATCTCGGGTTTCCTTTGAGGTCATTTTCTTTTTCTGGCGAATATCTTTAGAAGTTCATTTGGAGAAGGATCGTTAGTCATAAACTTGCTTTTTAGAATCTCAAAACACATTTGCTTTTACTTTTGAAAGACAGCTTTGCTCACTGTGTGCCTGTAGGTTGAGAGTTGAATTTCCTTCACTGCTCAGCAAATAGTATTCCATTGTCTGTGGACTCCATTGTAGCTGTTTAGATGTCATCTCCTAACTGGCAGGTCACCTTTTGTGTCTGTCTCTCTGAGGCTCTTTTGGTTTTTATTGTAGTTTCATTGTTACTGCACTTAGATGTGTGCTTCTTTTCATCTTGCCTTTTTTTTCCTTCCTTTTTTTTTTTTTTTTTTTTTTGAGACAGGTCTTGCTGTGAGGTTCCGGCTAGCCTTGAACTTGTGGCAATCTCCTTATCTCATCCTCCTAAGTGCTGAGATTACAGGGCTGGACCACCACGCCTGGCCTTGCTTGTTTTCTGTATTCATGTTTTTCATAACTGCCACATACTCATCAGCTATTATCTTTTTGATTATTACCTTACTTCTGGTCTTTTCCTTTTTTATACTCCAATTAGGTTCCATTACACTTACCTCCTCCATATGCCTCAGCGTCTCTTGCCTTTTCCCACCAGTTCATTTTCCTGATAATGACATGCTATCCACTTTGTTTAGTTCTGCTGTCTGTGGATACATATCTTTCATCAATCCTGGAAACGTGTCAACCAGCATTTTCTTTAAAT